AGGGTCTGGTGGGCAGTTTGAGGTTCAGTGATGACTATGTTCTGGAGATGGATTCCTTGGCAGCTGTGCCACAATGCTCTGTAATGGGACAGGCTTTGAGGGGTTAGTGGCAGATCAATGGCAGAGGGTTTGTGGAGCAGGGCAACATCGGGTGGAGAAGGCTTACACTGTATACATTTTCCACAATGAAAAGAATGGAAAAAGTCAATATGGTAATGTTACTTCAGTTTTATCACAATCCAAAAAATAAAACTGGGTGGATTTCAAGAGAATAATTTGGCAAGACAAGGAGACAATGACCTCAGTTTCTGGATTGTCCACACAGATAAAGTATTATCCATAGCATGGGGGGACATTCATTTGAAACGGAAATCTTTGTTTATCTTTTATCCTATACCCATTGAATCACTTAGCTGGAGTACTTAATGGTACTAAAAAAAAAAAAAAATAGTAACAACTGGTGTTTACTAAATTTTTATTAAAAATAAACAAATTAACAGGAAATTAAGTATCTTATTTTGTTTTGTTTATTGTTTTTAGAGGCAGGGTTTGTCTGTGTAGCCCTGGCTGCCCTGGACTTGCTTTGTAACCAGGCTGGCCTCAAATTCAGAGATCAGCATGCCTCTGCCTCCTGAGTGCTGGAATTTAAGATACTCACCACCATGCCCAATGAATAATAAGTATCTTAACATCTTATTGTTCGTAGACAGTACATTTTAATTCCTAGCTGTTAAAATGTTTCTGTTGAAAAGTGGAACTACAAAAAGAATAACTGCTCCCAAATAGCTTAAAAATTAAATGTTTTCAAAAGCACTAAATTATAGCCATTACATCAAAACCAGTTTAAAACAATACTCATATGAAGAAACTCTAAGATATATACAAGGTTCAAAGTGAAAACAATGGGTAAAGAGAATGTGTGATTCTGACAGGGTGTTAGATGGGGAGGTAGCAGCCCACTTCTCAGAAAATAAAAAACACCCTGATAAGGTTAACTTAAAGGTTTCTCCCAATTGTTAACCATTCTCTGTCCACCCGTCCCATGTTTAATTTTTTTGTTTTGTTTTATTGTTCTAGGAGAGAAAGCCTTACAATGAATCCTGAAGAAATCATCATGAAATGCTAATGACCCCAGAACTAAATTTCCTGAAGTAACAGCCTAATGTAACACAAATGATCAGGAACCATCTGCAGACTCACAGCTATACCTGCAAGCTGAATCCTAAAGAAAGCTTTGATTGCAGGACAGCTCAGCAGGGAAACAGGACATGAACCTTGGTCAGAGGGTGTAACCCCAACGGCTTTCTAGTCAAAGTGAGATCCCCTGAAGAACTTTAACCTAAGTCTCACCAAACAGAAAACACCAAGGTTTCCATGCAGCACTGCAAAGCACAGGGAGACAGCTATGGCGTCTGCTGAGAGGTGCAACTTCAGGGCAAGAAGGCTCACTGGGTGAGGACACTTGCTTGCCCCAAGCTTCACAACCAGAATGTGATACCCTCGAAGCCACTGAGTGGGAGACACAACTCTTTCAAACTGTCCTCTAACTTACATACCCACACATACAAAATAAATAAAATAGAAGAAAATTAAATAAAATATGTAACTTCACAGCACTTTCAAGGGAGAAGTAGAGTAAGAAGATAATTTAGCTGTGTGAATTCTAAATACTCCTGTAAAGCAGTCGTTATTCCAAGCTCCCAGTGGCAAGTGTGAAGGACTATGAGTTGGTTGACCATTTCAACTAGGAATATGACCTGCCTACACCCGTAACAATGCAAAACACACACACAGTCAATTATTTTGGCTGATTTTTGACAAGTGCTCCCAGAACCAGAATATAAAACATTAAGCTGGGACAATCCCATGTTCCTTCTCGTGCACATCATTTCTCTTTAGTTCTCTGCAATCAAATTCTTTCCAAAAATAAGTAAATAAATAATAGAAAACAAAAACCCGGATGCTAAGACAGAAACACCTGAATGTAATATACATGCTCAGCAGAGTTTCAGCCCAAAACTTAGCCTCAATCTTCTGAAGGCAAATGGTCTTCATAGCTCCCTCCCCCTCTTCTGCAGTTGCCACTTTCCCTAAACCGCAGGCCTTCCTGACTTGCAGCAGGGCCAAGCCAGATTATGGTTATGCGGTAGATCCGTCAGGCAAGTTTTGACAGGGCCTCAAAATAGACCCTGGACTCCATCCAGGGAAACTGCCACTCATGAGTGCCAGCCTCACCACACTTGAGCCTCTCAGCACTGACCCCTTCAGTCTCTCATTTCAAAGGGACAAAGGTCCCTGAACCTCCCCCGGCCATCAGCCACCTATAGAACTTCAAATTAAATTTTTGAACCTCCCTTGTCCTGCTCACCAACTCTTCACCTACACCTGCTTCCTGCTTGACAAAGGAATCCACCAACAGTGCTCTGGATTGCCAAGAAATTTCTGGCTCTTGCATTCAGTCAGTTATTCTATTTTGAATAGACAAACTAGTATGTAGAAGATAAAGAAGAATCATTTCTTACTCTTATGACAAATATCAGTTAACTTTAACAAGACAAAAATGTAAACTATATAAAAGTTGTTTTTTATTTTATTTATTTATTTGGGGGTCTTGTTTTTTGGTTGGTTGGTTGGTTGGTTGGTTGGTTGTTTTTGTTGTAGCCCCAGCAGACCTAGAAGGGGCTATACACACCAGGCTGGCCTTGAATTCAGAGATCTGCTCTGCCTCCCAAGTGCTGGGATTAAAGATATGTACAACCACACCCAGCTATATAAAAGTTTTGAATTAACAGAAAATATAAACTCTGAAACAAACCTACAATATAGAGCCATTTTACCAAATATAGTAGCTTATTTTTGTGAACACCAGGCTTCAACTATAGTATCTTGACATTAACCAGTTCAAATGAATTATGTGACACTTCAAAATGTTGACTTACAAAACACATTTGCAATTTTGAGACAAGGTCTTACTATATGCTGTATATACCATAACTGCAAACTCTCAATCTCCTGGCTTAGCCTCCCAAATATTGACAACAAGGTACATGATATGAAGCCCAGTTCACAACGTTTTTTAAAATGAAGAGATGGGTAAAGAACATATTTTTTTTAAAATTCTTCCTCTTCCTGTGACTGAGACTTTATTGTGTTCACAACCTAACTATCAACCTCAAAGTCATACATTCAAAACTACACTCCACAGATTGACTTAGAAATGGGTAAATACATGTTTACAAGGTTTTTTTAGAGCACTGTTTACAGAAGGCTAAAAATTACCTAATGCTTACTAATACGGAATTAGTAAAACTGTTGAAAATGAATAAATCTAGTCTTTTTTAAAATGAGATTGGTGTGGGTGCAGAAAAATATCTCAGACACATCACAGATAAAGACACTTCTAAACACAGGTAACTGAGAATCTGAAGGAGGAGAATACATGAAAAATCATTAACATGGTAGTCTGGAGTGGGGAATAGGAGGATGAAAAGATAAAAAGTTTGTGGCAGAATTATCAATCTGTGAAAGGTTCACAAATGTCACTGAACGCTTATCATCAGCATTTCTTTCTATGCGCATCATTTCTTCCCTCGTTCCAAGTGTCTCTGTTTTTACCTCTTTCTTCCCTGCCCCAGACTAAAAGAATAGCACACAGGGAGCAAGTCTCTGTGACCGTCCAAGAAATAGCTCTCTCTTGGATCCCCATGACAACCACAGAATAAGTACATAAATGAAAACACGTATCACATAATAATCCCAGTTTGTAGTTTATAATTTTAGCCTAGTGTATAACTGCTTTTCAGTCTAGACTAATTTACTGTTAACTAAAAAGTTTGAAAGGTTAAAAGGCAAAACGTAATGTCAAACATTCATTTCCCAAGATAGTCCACCCATCTATTAGTTTTAAGGGGAAAAACTGGAAATAAGGACTAAGATATTTTACTCACAAGGTAAATTGCTTGATTCCTTTCCTTCTAAAGTTTAAAAACCTGGGCTATGAATGATGGTCAGAGTCTATGCTTCATTTGCAAACATACTGGATAAGGTAGTATATTTTCCCATTCAGACTCTCCAAAGAGAAAGCAACTACTCAAAGAGAAAAGCTACTATCCCAACTGTTTTGTAGGTGTAACAGACAGTACTCGTTGGATAAGGACAGAATTCTATTTCCTTAAAATAATCCTCACCAATGCTCCCACCATGACACAGGGACAATCACCCCCACCCCATCATCAGTTCCTCAATTATGTTCATTTTCACAACAGGAACAAGAGAAGCAATTCACAAAGATCTTTGTAAGAAATCACTCACTCCTCCATCCTAAATTAATTTTAAAAAATTGTTTTGTATCACTAAAGAGAGATACCTCTTTTCTCTTCACTATGGAAATGCTTAAATCCTAATCTACAAAAATTTCCCTTGTGTTTTTAGGCATCAAGACTGTCTCCAATGAAGGTTTTCACAAAGGGTTTTCCAAAAGGGAATCTCTGGTTACAAGGAACAGCAGCTCTTAAGTCATCCTATCAGCGTGACAAAAAAGAAAAAAAAGCAACATTAGGGAACACTCTGAATATAAGAATAGATACCCAAAGTGAAAAAGATGCCAAAAATTTAGTCGAAGAATTAAAGGAATGTCTGTTTTACACAACACCAATAAACTTGATATTACTTTCCAATTAGTCAATAGGTCTTCTAACTGTCAATCAAGGTAAACAAAACAACAACAAAAAAAAAAAAACAGAAAAACAAGATTTGCACTATCAAGAACTGTGGGACTCAAAGTTATTCTGCATCTCATTTTGAAAAATTAAAATGATCAAATTACACTGCAGCAACACAAAGTTATTTCTAGTTTGAAATTAGTCAATTCTAAAAATAACCCAAAACTTCAATACACAATTAGCATAGTCTCATTCTGCATCTTTAAGGAAAAGATGGCAAAGTGTTGTGGTTTTCCACTCAGGAAGCTACTTTATATAGTACAAACTCTCTCACAGTACCTTAGTGATGGTAGCTCTTCTTTCCACTGACATTCATTTGGCTTCTAAACCCCTTCATTTGTCTTCCCACATCTGGTTTAAAAACGGGGGGGGGGGGGAGATTTAAAAATCACAGCAGTCCATTTAGTAACTAACAAAGGATTATAAAAGACATTATGCAAAGTTTAGAGTTTTATTTCCATACCACAGTGCATGACAATAATCACCCAACAACGAAGATAAGCAAACATTATGCATCACTTGCCATAAAGAGTAAAATTACCTAATTAACCGGGCAGAAACGAACTTTGCTTTCCACTATTTCAATGTGAAGAGCCAGATCAATGATTCACACAGTGAGCGTGACCTAACTTCCTATGTGAATCACACTTTCCGAAATTCTTATTCGGTATGAGCGTATTAAATACGAGGTCATCGTCTTCCTGTAGTTGTTAAACAGAGCATGATGTTGGTAAATTAGGGCTCACTCTGAAAGACATTCAAGCCTTGGTAAACTTGGCCAAGGAACACTATGCATTCTCCAGTAATTGCTTATTTTCACACCTATTCCTCGAACAAATACTGGGAAGAAAACGTCAAACACTGACTAACACAATCTGTCTGTCTCTACCCTGCGTTCCATCTCCCCGCTCCTTTTCTGCTCCTCTTCCCGTGAGATAATACAACACAAATAGTAGTCACTGTTATCCTGAGTCAATCAACGTACTGTACAAAAAACCGTGCAGCAAAAACGCTGAGTCACTAAATGGGAAAAAAAGCAAAAAGGGACTACAAATAATGAAAGCTTGGGATACCCGTTAGTCTTGTTGCAGGACTCTATCTATATATCCTGATGCGGGAGGGAATAAAGCAAACGCTTGAACTTTTCTCCTCTGGGTTTTCTTATTTCCCGGCTTCCTGCTGGATATCCACGGCAAAGGGAAACCAGGCCGGACTGGAGCTATGGAACTCCACAATGTGGGTGTAAATAACACCCCGTATTAGCCAAGCATTAACCCTGACCGTCCTGCCCTGAGCCTGTTAAGCCCCGCGCTTGAATTCAGATCAAGAAGGAACCAGGAGATGGGGGGGGGGGGGGGGAATCTCCCGTAAGAAGCTACGCCCTCCACCGGCCTGACAGCGCTCGCGGGGCGGCTCCTCCCGGGACCGGCTGCGGACGGGGAGACCGAGGGAGCGTGGCGCCGGGAGCAACGGGAGCTGGGGCGCCCAGCTGTCCGAAGGGATGCCGGTCCAAGGGGCGTAACCCCTTCCCTCTCCCCCGCGGGGGGCGGGCGAAGCGGGAGCCGGCGACCCGCCCGGCGACCCCGGCGCGGAGCCGGCCCGGGGCAGCGCCTCGGGACAGCCGGGCCCGTCGCCGGCTTCTTACCTGCGTGCGGCGCGGGCTGAGGCTGCGGCGCCTCCCGGAAGGGCCGGAGCGGCCGCCGGGGAGCGGGGCGAGGGGCGCGGCGGCCGCTCTGCGTCCCCACAGCGTCCGCCGCGCGGGCCGCGGGGAGGCGGAAGGAGGGCTCCTCGCGCCGCGGCCGGTCGCGCCGTCACACTCGGGCTGCCCTACGCGCCGCGGCCGAGACGGCGAACGCCACCCGGGGACGAGCCGCAGCCCGAGCGGCCGCTGCAGCTGCGGCGGTGGCGGGGCAGAGGGGCGGGGCCACCGGCCGGCGACCCGCTCACCCGGAAGTACTTGGGCGGGCGGCGGGGTGGCGGGCGCGCGCGGCGCAGGAGCCGCCGGGTGGGTAGCGGGGCGCCGGGCTCGCGTCGGAGGATGGAGCGGGTGGCGGGGAAGGCGACTCGCTCTCGCTCAAGCCGGGCCTGGCCCCGAGAGTTGGCACCGGAGCGTTTCGTGGCCGTGCTTAGGCCTGGTGGCCTCTGAAGTGGTCGGGTGGGAGAAGGGCTGCGATAGATGAGGCACCGGGCGCGCGGGCTGCGGGAAAGGATGGGGAGGGTGGGTGTGGCTGCACGAGATGAAGATACCTGTTTTTAAAGAAATTTCCAGCTGAGTCTCTAGCGCAGCTATTAGGGCTCTTGCTTAGCGATCTGTAGCCCTGGGTTCCATTCCCAGTATAAAGTCAGGTATGGTGCCGCCGTACACACATTGTCCCAGGTACCCTGGAGCCTGTGGCCGAGCAAAGGATTTGAATCACCACAGTGAGACCTGTCCCTCAATCCCAAAGTGTCTGTGGAAGCCCCACAGGTTCAAGGAACCGGAAGACCAGATCCTGCTCTCGGGGAAACTTACCTTCTAATTGAGTAGATGGACTTAAGCAGATCAGCAAGGTGATGACAGCTGGTCGTGAACTCAGCGGCAGACAATGATGAGAAAAAATTTGAGGGTGAGGCCTCTGGCTGCGAAGATGGTCAGAGAAGACCTCTGGCAGGAAGTGATAGCTGACCAGGTATTTGGGGAAAAGGGCACAAAATGCTCTTGGATGCAACCTCTCATCTACAAAAACTGCAGATTTCAGGAACACACGAATAGGACTTCGTGTACGGGCTTCTAAGAGGAATTTCTGAACCTATACCCATTGAGATATCAGAGGCTTTATCAAGATCAACTCGTATCAATCCTGTAGGTTCAGCACACACGGAAAAGTGTGCAGAGAGAAACTGCGCGCGCATGTGTGTCTGTTTGTGTCTACACACACTTAGCAAACAAAAGACAACCTTGTGTGATGTTCCTTGTTTTGTGTTTGTTTGTGTTTATTTGTTTGTTTGTTTTTAAGACATTAAATCTCTCATAGAGCTGGAACTTAACAGGTCGCGTATGTTGGCAGCTTCTCCGGTGCGGGGATGACAAGCACGCGCCGCCACACCTGGCTCTCTTTTACTGGAAAAGTAGGCGTTGGGGTGGTGTAGGGTAGTGTCGTGAAGCAGCCTTACAAGATCCCTATTACCGCTCCTTCATATGTTGCCACCTATTTAGCAACAGAAACAAAAGCCCCTCCTCTTGTTGAAAGTGTCTGTAATAAGTGATTCAAGTGTTGTATACTGACACCAAGGTTTTGTCATTGCAAGGAGTCCCTGACTCAGCCCACAACCCTGAATGATGTCGTAGGCAGTCTTTCTCAGCACATTAAGTATTTCTTTCTGCCAAAAATATCTGTTCCCAGATCTTTATGGAATATTCTGACATGTGAATGCCCCAGGTCTGTGTGGGCTGGCTGCTCTGGGGATATATTTAATAGAGGAAGGAAATTTTTGCAAATGTTTATACAGTTTGGGGGAATGAGATGGCTGGATCTGTACATATTTATTTCCACAGCAAATCTTTCATACTTTTCTTTGATGATGCCAAGAAATATTTTTTCCTTTTTTTAATAACAAATATTCGTTGCTGTGTTTACTTGCCTGCATCAGGTATTATATTTTTTTTTTATTTCTACTTTTGTAATGGGTGGAAAATAGATATATTTTAGCATGAATTTCTCTGATGTTAATGACAATAATGTGTTTTTCATGTTTCTCTTGTCTTTTCATATTTTTAGATGAAACTGTCTTGGCAAAAGCAATACTATGTCCCTTTGTCTGGAACATGTATCTGGAAACATCGTTAGTTCAAACATTAAAAATAAGCTACTTAGGGGCTGTGTTGCCTGCACAAGATCAACCCAGTCAAAATTTCAGCAGGGATGGTGGAGGAACTCCTGAGGCTTCAACTGTAACTGAGGAACTATTATTGACAGTTGATGGCTGCTGAAAAAAAAATGAGAGTGACTTTTCTTTGTGGATATGACCGTGCCCCAGTGGGGGGCCTCACACTCACGTACTTACGGCCGACAATAACTAGGCTCCAGGCTGGAAAGACTGCTCGGTGGTTAGGAATACATACTGTTCTTCCAAAGGACCCAGGTTTGACTCCCAGCACCCACATCGGGGTGCTTCACAACTGTCTCTAACTCCAGCGAAATCTGCCACTTCTGACCTCACTGGGCACCTGCACTCAGGTGCACATATATACATAATTAAAAATAATAAAAATAAATCTTAAACACAATAATTGGTCAGGACTATCAATAATAATTTTAAAAGAGGACATGAAATTGAGAGGAAAATGGATTTAGAGGTCTCGAGGAAGGAGGTTGTGGGTAGGAGTAGATGAGATCAAAATACATTATTACATGTATGAAAAAAATTGTTAAGATTTATTTATTGTTTATATAGTATTCTGCCTACATGCCAGAAGAGGGTACCAGATCTCATTATAAATGGTTGTAAGCTACCATGTGGTTGCTAGGAATTGAACTCAGGACCTTTTGAAGAACAGCCAGCACTCTTAACCTCTGAGCCATCTCTCCAGCTCCCCATGTATGAAATTTTAAAAATAAAAAAGATGGGTTACTTGGGCTAGAGAGATGGTTCTTAAACTAAAGCACTTGCTGTGACATGAAGGCCAGAATTTGTGTGCCCAGAATCCACATAAATGCCAGGCAAGTGTGGAGTTCATTTGCCATCCCAGCATTAGAAAGCAGAGATGGGGTTTGTGCACACCTTTAGTCCCAGCACTTGGGAAGTAGAGGCAGGCAAATCTCTGTGAGTTTGAGGCCAGCCTGCTCTATAAAGTGAGCTCCAGGACAGCCAAGGGTACACAGAGAGAAGCTCTGTCTTGAAAAACCAAAAATAAAAAAGCAGAGACAGGGATCTCCAGAGCAACCTGGCTAACCAGACAAGAACTATCCACGAGCTCTGTGTTCAGTTGAGAGACCCTGCCTCAATGAATACAGAGGTGAGCACTGACACATATATGAACATAAGTGCACATTACTCACATATGCAAAAAAAAGGAGGGGCTGCCACTTTGTAAGTAATGTTTTTATTTGTTTTGTGTGTGTTGGGAACATTTTTAATTTTTTTTGTTTTCTCCTTATGAGGTTATGGGAACCAAGTAATATAATTGCCATAGGCTATGTATATTTATTTTGTATTCTTCTAAAATTTCCTTGTCTAGATTTACAATTTTCATTTGATGTCATCTGTGTGTGTCATTCACCCAGTGTTCTTCATTAGTATCACCTTACATTTTCAAATCTAGATTTTTAGGTTTTGTTTCATATCAAAAAGGTACCACTTCACATTAATTCATTTCTGTTATGTTTGATTTGGCTCTTTCCTTTTCCTTTCTGCTTATGCCAATAGCTAATAAATCTGCCATGGTTGTCATCTCAAATTCCATTTATTTTTCAGAATTCTACCAGAGCCAGGTGTGATGGTTATATTAGTTACTTATCTATCACAGTGATAAAACATCATGACCAAAGACTGTATACAAAATCGAGGCTTCATTTGGTATGGTTCCAGAGGGACAAGACCCCATCACCATCGCGGGAAGTGCCAAGCTTGATAGCTGGAACAGCAAGCTAAGGGGTGGGGGTCACGTCTTCATCCACAGGCATAAAGCAGGGAAAACAACCCACAAATGGAGAAGTCTTTAAACTCTGAAAGCCCCGCCCAGCATCATACTTGCTGTGGCAAAACCACACCTTCTAAACACACCCAGACATCACCGCCAAATGGTGATCACATATTCAGATATGTAAGCCTGTGTGGAACATTCTTATTCAGACCACCACAGTAGCACTTGAAGGGGCTGAGACAGGACTGATGAAAATTAGGCCAGCCTGGGCTAACGAGTGAGATTCTATCTGTAAATAAATAAACTAATTAAATTCGCCAGACAATAAAATTGGAAATTACTCACTTGTGAGTGCATATTCACAGCACTTACTTCTGCTTACACTGTTCCAATGTCATTCCACCCCCAATAAATTCATCTATAAACCTGTGTGTGTATTTTAATACATCTAACCACAGATTTTTTTAGAGGTTAGTGTTGAGGTGAAAGTAAAGAGAGTCCTCGTTTAACTGAGGTTAAAAGTAAAATTAAACACTGCTCGTTGATTTTTGTCAACTTGATACAAACTGTCTTTCTTACTTTTCTACTGCTGCGACAAAGCCCCATGACCAAGGCAAATTACAGAAGAAAGTATTTCATGAGGTTAACACTTTCAGAGGACGAGTCCGTGACCATCATGGCAGAGAATGACAGTAGGCAATCAGACATAGCACTGAAAACAGTAGCTGAGCGCTCACATCTGATCCACAGCACAAGCCAGAAAGCTAACAGGAAATACCATCGGCTTTTGAAACCTCAAAGCCGGTCCACAGTCACACCTCCAACAAGGCCGCACCTCCTAATCCTTCACCAGCTGTAGTCCAAGCATTTCAATACGTAAGCTTCTGGGGGCCATTCTTACCCAAATCATCACACAAGCCAAGACATATCTGAGAACTGGGAATATTGATTGAGAAAATGCCTCCATCAGAATTTCTGTAGGCAAGGTGGTGGAACATTTTGTTGACGAATGATTGGGGTGCCACTCCAGGGCAGGTAGTCCTGGCTTGTGTAAGAAAGCAGGCTGAGCAAGTCATAAGAGACAAGTGAGCGCCAACACCCCATGGCTTCCGCGTCACATCCTGACTCCAGTTCCTGCCCTGACATAACTCAGAGGTTACAGACAGAGCTTCTGTTACCTAGAAGTGTAACGTGAAATAAATTCTTTCCTCCCCAAATTGATTTGCACGTGTGTG